TAAAAAGAATCATTGAGTCTGGTAAATTCTTCTTGCATTTTAAAGAAAACCCTGACTTTTTTCTGATTTGTTTTAAACCACTGCTAGATAAGTAGTAACAGGGCAGGCTTGGTTCTTCATCTGAAGTTTGAGCAATCACAGTAAGGCTTGCAAAACATGTGAGTCTCTTTCTCAACCCTTGCAAATCAAGTGCGTACAATGTGTTGCAATATATCCTTTCACGTAATAAACCACAGCAACTTCTGTTTTTTGCATAAGCTTAACGGCACCGACATATTTTCAATGTGAATGCATGCAATTGAATGTAGGCAAATAGGCACATGATAATAGGGTTTTTAGGTTATTGGCTTTCCTGTAGGTGCGAGCTGTGGTCAGGGGAAAGCAGCAGGTGCCTCAGGTTTCCCAACTCACCTCTGAGCCAGCGTAACAGGAAGTGATCATGCTGTGCAGGAAGTTGAGGTAGAATATCTTGTATCCTCTCTCGAAACTGAAGCCAAAGGATGGAGAGAAAAAGAGCAAATGATGGACACAATTTACTAAAAAGGAAAAACACAGAGGTTTCAGGACTAGGAAAACATTTTCAATTAAATGTTTAATGCTATACTTACAGTCGATGACACTGAAAGAAAAATAATACAGTACTTTTTTTTTCTTCAGTTAAGTATTTATGTACTAAGGCTGCTAAAATATGTGACTGTGACAAATCATTTTACACACTTTGAGAGCAAGGTTGAGAAATGTCCCCCAAGGGATGCCATTTCAGCTTTGACGTGTACATTCCCTGTTTGCTTCCAGGGAGCCTGAAAGACTTCTTTCTCTATACTAATGGCTTAAAGGGCACTATTATGCTCATTTTCAGGGTTCATATCAGTATGTAGTGTCTCTACTGGGACACGTTTCCATGCTTTAATGTTCAGCTTCATATCAGTATGTAGTGTCTCTACTGGGACACGTTTCCATGCTTTAATGTTCAGCTTCATATCAGTATGTAGTGTCTCTACTGTGACATGTTTCCATGCTTTAATGTTCAAAAAGCTCTTTATTTTTCTCGTACTGCCTGTGCTGCAGCACCTCTTTTCACCCTCTGTCTGAAACCAGAGCCCAGTCTGCTCTGATTGGATAGCTGGCCAGCTCTGTTGTGATTGGTCAACCACTTAGAGATGTCCCGCCCCATAGCCTATCATGTGAAATGTGTTGGAGCACTAACCAATAGATGAGTGTTATGTAGTGATGTCAATATGTTCTGGAAGTAAAAATAGACGCATAGAGGCATTTCATATTTACATTCACTGTTTGTTTACTATAATAGCAGAAAAGGAAACCAGCAAATATGAAAATGTAGGAAGCTGCAAGCAGTTTCATTTTTCTCTGAAAAAAATACTACCAAAGCCATGGGCATTGCCGTGCAGCTATAACAGCCTTATCTCTTCTGGTTGTAGACTTCACACTAGATGTGGAACCTGGCTGCAGGTTGAGACAAAGAGCATTAGTGAGTTTTTGTATGGCAACTGAGTCTCAGTCAACATCTTAATTCATCCTATAAGTGCTGGATAGGTCAGGACAAGTTCAGTTCATTCAGGTGCACGGGGGGCATTGTCAGGCTGAAACAGGAAAGGGCTTAAAAAAACGGTAGCCACGTAGTTTTTGATATATAGTGAAATTCCTCTTATGTAAACGTACAGCTTACAGACTTCTCCTAAAAGGTTTATAAAAAGGTTTCTATATTGTAATGCAGTAGCGGGAAAAATAAATAAAATCATTGATTGAAAACTGAGATGATGCTTAAATAATGTGTCCAACCAAAAATAGTTTGCTGCATTAGTTTTGATTGATAGTTACATTGTAGCACGTTACAAAAATACAGTGATGGATAATAATAAAGTACATTGTAAAAAATGTATTGATTCATGCTTTCTCAATAGTATGTAGCAATATCTTTGATAATCGTTTAAATAACTTAAAAAGCTAAATGCCAATATATGAATGGTTCAAATCACTTAAGGAATTGCTATACATAGTAATGACTGTAGGTTTTGTTTGGAGCTAAAGAAGACTGAAGACTTCAAATTGAATTTTCAGAACATTTGTGAATAAAAATGATTTGCCCCTCTCACTTGGAAAAGGCTTTATTATTAACTAATCTCTTCATAAATGGCCAATACTACTTTATGCGAAATCTGTAACATTTAATCAATTACTCAATTCACTAAGACAACAATTCGATTCTTTTATTGATCTACTAATTCATAATTTTAAGTGGAATTGTCAACCATATTCTGGTTCCAGATTATCAAATGTAAAAAAAAAAATGTTTTGTTCAAATATATAATAGAAAATACATATCTTGGGGGTTCAGACCTGGTGGGAGGAAACAGATTTGATCATTTGGGGCATTTTAATGGGAACTACTTTCTGACCTGCTATAGTCAAAATGCTGAATCACATAATCGAGAAAATAAACGTTAGTTGCAGTCTTTAGACAGCTAACTTGTTCTTAATAATGGCTTATAATTTAATTATGGCTAAAACGCAAAAGATTCAATACCCTAAGCATGAAGAATGTAGGAAAGCTAACGAACCCTTTAAAAGACAATCGTTTATTACACACGTGCTTAGAGAGAGATTATATAACATTTATAATGGGATTCCTAGAAAGCGTATTCAAGTAAGGAGATAGGCTACTACAGTACAAATCACAATTAGTATTAATATTAATAAACGTACCCTACCTGCTCCAGTGCTTCCGCCTGTTTAGGACTCAGTTCTCCGACTCTACCGCTCATGTTTGCGAGCAGAAAATTCAACACGGATACTGACGGAGCTCCAAGTCAGATAAACAGATGGAGCGAGAGATAAACAGCGCAGTCACCGTTAACGGGCAGGCGGGTCTCTGTCAGACGCCTCCCAGATGATGTTCAGTCGCTGCCTAGCTACAGTATCCTCTTCTCTTCGCTGTCAGCAGGTGAGAAAGACCGCCGACGGAGGAAAAAATTGTAAACACAACGCAACGCCCGTCAGAAATTCAGTCCAACCGGCTGACTCTGTCAAAGATAGGGAGTAGGGACAGGAGCGCTACTCGAGTAAGAAAGGAGCGACCAGAAGAGAGGAGTGGCCACGCCCACTGTCCAAACTAACGTTTCCAAACTATCTGAAAAAAGAACAACTGAATCATAACAAATTCCATGGGGGATGTATGGTATTAATGGTTGTCAAATTAGAGAACGGGTTATTTTTAACAAAGATTTGTTTTAATTGTTTTTAGTGGGGATAAGCCAAATATCCACATTGTAGTAAAGAGCTGAGAGATATTGATATATTGTTTACTTTTTCCTCTATGCAATGTTATAGATCACGCATTGCCAGTGTGTTGTTTGTGTCTAGATGTAATTGTCCAGTAAATTGACAGGAATCTAATTTGCTAATATAGAATGCTTATATAAGGACAGAGTTTGAAAATTGGCACACAATATTGTGAGTGACCTGAGGCACCCTCTTGCCTCTTACTGTTGCCATCCGGGCGGAGATATCGTACCCCTTATTTAAAAAAGAACAGATCTAGGCTGTCTTTCGTCACATAAGCCATCAAACTCCTGAATAAATGATGGCTAGGACGCACTGTTTACCCAGCTGGTCTGGCCCTGTCCCTCCTATTTCGCAAATGTGGGCCTCTAGGCCCATTGTCATGCCTGCCGATATCTGGTTTTCTTATGTCCGTTTGTTTTTATCTGTGTCTATGTTGTTGTCAGTGATGTATTGTCTTATCTTTTTAAATGCCTTTGTGATGTGCTGCAACCCATTTTCCCCTTGGGGACTAATAAACGAATACTATACTATACTATAAACGAATACTATATGTAATTTCGATTCTTCTTCTTCTTTTTTTTTTAATAAACCTACCCCTAACCCTTAATAACAAAATACAACTGTGAACCATGTTCAAACTCAACTCTCTGACTACATTTTGCACATGTTTGCACACTTGTCTGTACAGCCCTCCACTTTAAAATATAAGTCACTGTAGTTTGCCCTATTGTCATATATTCATTGTCCTAGGTGATTTGGTTTAGTTTGTATATCTGGCATAAATACTTGTCTTTGTTATTCTTTTGTAATGCTAAATAGTTTATAAAAAATACTTATTTTTATTATCTTTATATTTTTGATCTACTATTGCACCTTATTTTTTTAGATTGTTTATGTTCAGACACCAAAGCAAATTCCTTGTATGTGTAAATACCTGGCAATAAAGTCAATTCTGAAGAAAGGATAACATAACATGATTTGACCAATATGCAGTTAAATGCATAACATTAACAAACATAATTTGAACAATAATGCATGACTGATACAATGTATATTAAACTCAGTACTGAATAGATACAATTAAATGTATTTCCTCTATTGGAAGACGGGATGTCTAAAACACTTAGCCTATAACAAGGGATTTGTAGCTATACAAACTGTAAAGTTACTGCTAATGTTGACATGAAACTTCCTGTTTTTTATGTTTTAAACTGACGAACATTCAAGAGGTTTTTATTGTGAAACCCTACAGACATGCTAACCAGTGTGCGAAATACGGGGGGGTCCGGGGGAGCTCGACCCCCCCCGATCAATAGGGTTTACCAGCTAAACCCTGTCACAGAATACAAACCAAGTAACACCGAGACACTAGCCACTTGTATTTAAGCTCAACCACTTATACTTAACAATATTAACAGGTAGCCTAATAAATAATATTACCGTATTGGTATAGGCCTACATCGCGTACCTGCAATTGTTTTAGTGTGACAGAAGAGCCGAGTCGCTGAACCACTGTGCATTAAACCAGATGCAATTAGAATAGCGAACACATGGCGAGCACCTCGTCACACATCATATTTGTTTTAATATTGGGTCGTCATTATATTGTGTGTTGGTGCAAAGTGAAACAAGTATGAGCTTGGTTGTCTTCAGTTTCAATTTCAGAGCTCACTTACTCAAAAATATTGAACCAACATTAAACACTAAGAAACACCAGAGGTCCTATATTTATACAGTCTATGCGTCAAACACAGCTCTTACATTTTAATAAACACCGCACCAGTTTTAGCGTGTCTGGACGGTCTGGACCGCGGCTTTAAATCAAAGAGGGAAGTATGGGACAGAGCCATAGACTGGACGGAACGCTCTCTCTTTGCTACGTTCATCTCTGATAGCAGAAAAGGTAAAAAGAAAACTCAAAACTGTAACTGTAAATCAACGGGATAACCGCTTAATATATTTTAATTCAACTTAATGTGTTAGATAGTAAGCGTATTAATTTAAGTATATGATTTAATTCGTGGTAATGCGTCACAACCATAGACAGTATATATAAAGGTCACAACTATGATCTCTACCGCTGTGTATACAAGATGATAATCCTCAAGCTTTTCCGGTCAGGTCCGGAAGTTGCCTGTCGTTGTTTACATTCTCTGAGTGGTCCAGCTAGCTAATTGGCGAACAGGAATGATGGCAGCTTCTATGAAATGACGGGTGACATTTGATTAGGTTTTTATATTTATACACATTTTTCGTATTCTCTCTGTGTTGTTGTTGTTGTTGTTGTTGTTTGGGTCATGGCTTTAGCCCGGTGCTGGTGCTGTCTTTGGGTAATGTTACCGCTCGTCCTGCTGCGGTGGCCGACGGGGCTGCTGGTCGCCGCGGAGCAGGTCGCTCTGGTGGAGGTTTTCCTGGAGCAGCGGGCCGGCGTCAGCGCTGTGCTCCAGGGGGAGGTGATGGAGTCCGGCAGGGAAAGCAGCAGGATTTCCGAGACCCAGGACGAGGACCAGGAGGAGCTGGAGGGAGAGCTGGTCCTGGTGAGTCGGTCAGAGGGCAGTAAATCATGGTAAACATTGCACGTCTGTTCTGAACTGTTGCAAACATGGAGATGTGTAAATCACCAAAAGAGCATCATTGATGACACTTATCATTAATTCAAAAAATGTAAAAACGTTAGTATGATATTAGATCACAGTATTGGCCGAAATTAGTTTAAAACCTGTGTATAACCCTAATCTTAACATTTCCATATGCATTTTGAACATCTGTCTGTCATGATTAACTCCTATGAAATAAAATGGAACGTGAGATGTATCAGCACATGAACAAAACAAAGCAGTGATTATTCAGTATAATATTTATTATTATGCCATCACTTCTAAATTGTCTTACACGATTTTAATAGTACATTGAGTGAATGGAGGTGGTATTGTTTAAAATGATGGTCACAACAAACAAAAGTAAACAAGTTTCCTCCTTGAACTGCCACAGCAGAGGAGCTCCTTTGTGAAACCGCTTCCAGTAAAGAGGTCAAGCCTTCTTTCTGTCCTAAGGTTCAGAATGAGGAAACACAGGTGAACGGAGGAAAAGGTGAGGACGACACCAAAGAGCAGGAGCTGTGGATCGGGGTGGTCCCTGTGGAGATGGACGAAATCAAAGCTTCCACTGGGAACCAAGAGTCCTTCGCTGATGCAATGGTCAACAGAGTAAGACGTTTCAATGTGTTCTTAGTCTGTTTGGGTATTTTTCACATTGGTACTGATATATATGACAAAATAAACATGTACCATTTCTGTTAAAGATGAAGCGAGCATTGGTCCTCGGAGCGTCTGCCCTGATCATTCTCGCTCTCAACCAAAACACAGTCAGTGAGGTAAATCTCCACAACCTCAACCAGCTGTGTTCCATTGTGTAAAAGCCTGTCATTGACATACTTTGGAGACTCTTACTGTTATTATTTGTGCGTGTATCCATTAGAAATCTTCTTTGGAAGTTGCACATCAGAAAAAAACTGAATTGCAGGCGCCACATCAAACATATAGTGTATGATGGATTGCACCATTTCATATGAAAGTTCTCTAACATCTGCCTTGTCTGTTTCAGATGGATCTGTCCCAGGTGCTGTCCAAGCCTATCATTGTGATCCAGACGTCGGAAAATGTCACAAAGCTGATTGGAGCTCTGCTCAGGTACAGAAAAACATACTATTTATATATTACATCATCTGCTCACATGGAAATAGACATTTTCACATGTATCTTTGAAGCAATTGTGCATGTGAAACAAAATACCCTATATTCTGAAGGAATCAGGTCATTGTCACAAGTGCTTTGTCATTCATGTGAGTTACACTATCTGATTAAGTTCTCTCTCTCTCTCTCTCTCTCTCTCTCTCTCTCTCTCTCTCTCTCTCTCTCTCTCTCTCTCTCTCTCTCTCTCAAGGGGTCTTCAAGCTACAGCAAAGATCACATACAAGACGATCCTGCAGGATAACCTGGTGAGCCCCCCACTCTAGTGTCAGCTGACTGTTTCTCAGTGTTTAGCACCCTCCAGTGGTGAGTGAGCAGATGACAGGCTGAGCGTCTGCTGTGTGTTGGGGCAGGGGGCCACGCTCACGCTGTGGTCCAGCTGCGGTCGGTCCAGAGGGGGTCCCTACGGAGAGTGGCAGGGGGTCATCTGCACGGGGGAGACCAACTCTCAGGTCCAGGTGGGGGAGCTGCACCAATACAGGCTGGTTCACTTGTTTAAACTCCTGTTGGAGATATGTAACACATTAAGGTCTGTTTAAAGGGCTTTGGGAGTACTTCTGTGTGTATGTAACAAAAAAAAGTTTTTTTGACTCCTTACACAGCCACCAATGGAATCTAATTCCACAAATAGTATCAAATCCATTTCTCTGCTCTCCTATATATCCGGAGGCCATTTCTGAGTATGGATGTGCTACAGACTGCTGAATGAATGATGTGTCAGTGATTCAGATGCTGAAGAGCTGCTCTTCCCCCAACCCC